CTTTATTTATTTTTTTTTTTAATGTGGTGCTGAGGATTGAACCCAGTGCCTCACACATGTGAGGCAAGCGCTCTACCACTGAACTACAGGCCCAGCCCCAGAATTAGAATTTTCTTAGTAACACAAAGTTTATTTATTAACTCCCACACACTGAACTCACATTAGCAAAGTCCTTAGCCCTGCTTAAAGTAAATCAGTAAGGATCAAGGCTATTTCACAAGACACTAAATTAGTTTGCCACCTGAACCATAAGAGCTACAGCTTTGAATGGCACAATGTGCCAGGGAGCACCTCTTCACATCCTGAAGCATATTCATTGCTGCCTGTGCCAAGAGGAATGGACTACCAACCAGAAGTGCCCACAGATGGAGACAGCTCAGTTTCCACTTGTCCCTTCCACGCTACCCTCAATGCTTAGTACAACCTTCCATGGGAAAACTTAAGCAAGTTGGTAGAAAAGTAAAGGGAGCTGCCAATTTAGAGTTGAAATAGATTTCAATCACACTTCCACTCAAAACTCATGCCTTGACATCAGTTCAGTCACTGGTGGCTCCCAGCAGAGCACCCTCTTCACAGAGCTTGGGTACTCCTGTCACTCTCTCAATAAGCACACAAACCAGAGCCAGGCCAGGAAGAGAAGCAGTGACCATCTCCCTGCAGCACAAGGGTAAAGTTCAGACCGCGCTGGCCCTGCCTGGCTCGAGCTCACTCAGCCCTCTCATTTCTCCTGTATCTGTGAGTCTTCTCTGGCTGGCTCCTGGTCAATGCCTTCACTGGTCACACACCATGTGCCTGACACTGAGAGGCATGGGGTTAGGAGGAATGATGTGGTGAGCAAGACATAGAATCCCCACTCATGGAGCTTACAGTGAAGAGTACAGAGTCCCAGACAGGACCATTGCTGCCTGTGCCAAGAGGAATGGACTACCAATCAGAAGTGCCCACAGATGGAGACAGCTCAGTTTCCACTTGTCCCTTCCATGCGACCCTCAATGCTTAGTACAATCTGGTTCAGCTCCAAAGAAAAGCAATGCCACAGCAGATGAGAGAGGGACCTGAGAGCCAGGAGGGAAGGTATTTCTGAGGAAGGAGGACCAGGTACCCCTTCTTCCAACGGCTCATCTAGGAGAAGAACTGGCTTGCCCACTGGTCCACATCAGTGGTTCTAAACCAAGGGCCACTCTGCTTGTCAGGGGACATTTTATAACTGTACTACTGAGGCATCTAGTGCTGCAGAACGACCCTCACAACTGAGGAAGGTCAGTCCCAGCTATCAGCTATAATAAGGTGTGGGACACCCGTCCTACAGTCAGTCAATGAGCACTTACTGAATATTCAGTATATGGCACATTTTCTGGTCAAATGCACAGAACATGTGTTTAAAGTGAGACAAGTTGTGTGAAAATGGTTTTCACTCTCAATATTCTTCCCAGTGCAAAAATGGAGGATGACATCACAGCCAACTTAAGGTCAGTAAGCCTTCATCCAAGGGGTCCCCTTCACAAGCAAACACACTTAGCTTCACAAAATGCATCGTAAGTGCGAAAGCATTGTCTTGGAAATTTCATTTCATGTCAAAAAAAAAAAAAAAACAACAGGAAAAAGAGAGTGGCCTACCTGTAGAAGCTCTAGCACCTATTTTTCTTCAGAGGAAGGAAGGGACCAACATCCTCTACCCTTCCAGAGAAGCCTGGTA